AGAAAACATTAGAGCAACACAGGCTCAAAGTGTCAGCACCAATGAGAACTGTGAGACCAGCGTGGGTTACACAGTGAGACCTCACCTCATACAAACAAAACAACTGTGTATGGAGTTAAGGGAGTGACGAAAACTAGAAAGATCCATGGGTGTCTTATCAAGTTAGTGAACATAACAGACGCGTGAGAAACCGGCTGGGCAGCTGGAGAGGTGGCTCGTCGGTTAAGAGAGTGGGCGGCTCACAAATGCTTACACTGCAGTTCCAGGGGGATCTCATGCTCTCTTCTGGCCTCCTCGGGAAACTGCACTCAAGTGTGCATGCATGTGTGAACACACGTATTTCTACTCGTGTGCACACTCACACACACATGTACACATAATTAAAAAATAAAAACAGATATATGTTTAAAAGCTCAGCAGCCTAGACTGCTTGGGTCTGGGTCTCCAACCCAGCACCTGAATTGGGTTACGCTGCTAAGCTGCTCAACTCTGAGTTCCAGTTTCCTCTTGTGTAAAACGGTGATGCCATCATGCATCTTCAGTGGGGCTAGGATCTGAGCCTGAAGTAAGAAAAATCAAATATGGGTTAGATTTAGGTCTCCCCAGAATATCAGCAGCTCAAGAGAATTAACTGTAGCACTGGGCGGGCTACTCCAAGCACCAAAAGAATTAACCGTAGCACTGGATGGGCTATTCCAAACACAATCCTGCTGGAAGTGGACTTGTATAAATCCTAGGTATTTGGGCAGTGTGATGGCTATTCTTGGTTTTCAACTTAACTACGTACGGAATTAACTAAAACCTGAAAATGGAGGGCACACCTGTGAGGGATTTCTGCTTAATCCGAAGAGGGAAAATCTACTTCTAATCCAGATCTCTGAGGTAGGAAGACACACCTTTAATCTAGATTTGGGCCATGTCCTCTGCTGGAAGCCTAGATAAGGGACACAGGAGAAGAAAGCGTTTGCTCTTTCCTGCCTGCTCTCCCCTCACTAGCAAACCCGTTCTTCAGTGGCAGTAGAGTCTACTTCTTTGGGATTCCAATGTATACTGAAGACCAGCCAAGACATCCAGCTTCATGGAGTGAGCAACTTTTAATTCGTGGACTTTCCATCCATAGACAGCCATTGTTAGACTAGCTGGACCACAGCCTGAACATCATTCTAATAAATACCCTTTCTATGTAAGGAGATTCATTCTACAAGTTCTGTTACTCTAAAGAACCCTAATTAATACAGACAGGACGCTAAACACACTGAAACTGAAACCATTCCTAAGTGCAACCCAACGTAGTTCATTTACTGGAGGGCCATATATGTATACATACATATAAAAAGGAAATGAAGTTAGAAAAAGCCACTTGTCTTAGTTGGGTTTCTTTTGCTGTGAAGGGACACCATGACCACAGCAACTCTTATAAAGAAAAACATTTAATTGGGTGGCTTACATTTTCAGAGGTTTAGTCCATTGTCATCATGGTGTGACATGGTGGCATACAGGCAGACATGGGGCTGGAGCTGGAACTACTTACTTTATTTTGACATGCAGGCAACAGGAAGTGGTCTGAAACACTGGGCATGGCTTTCGTGTGTGTGTGTGTGTGTGTGTGTGTGTGTGTGTGTGTGTAAAAACATTTAATTGGGTGGCTTACATTTTCAGAGGTTTAGTCCATTGTCATCATGGTGTGACATGGTGGCAGACAGGCAGACATGGGGCTGGAGCTGGAACTACTTACTTTATTTTGACATGCAGGCAACAGGAAGTGGTCTGAAACACTGGGCATGGCTTTCGTGTGTGTGTGTGTGTGTGTGTGTGTGTGTGTGGGAGAGAGAGAGAGAGAGAGAGAGAGAGAGAGACCTCAAAGCCCACCTCCACAGTGACACACCTACTCAGACAAGGCCACGCCTCCTAACAGTGCCACTCCCTTAGAGTCATTTTCTTTCAAATCACCACTCCACTACTTACTGTTTTTATGTTTCATAAATAAGTACATACAAAAAATTATCAATTTTTAAAAACATTCCAGAAAGAAGAGATAAGACAAAAGGAAACGCTGTGGCCCAGTGGGAAATCTACCATCAAATTGTAATCTAAACAGTCAAGGATTAAAGCCGTGGTTCATCACCACTGGGTTTCGGCTCAAGATTTTAATGCCAACCCTTTTCTTAATCTGTGGTTCTACATTAGAAACTAGTTCATGTCGTCAAGGGGAGAAAGTTTATTAAATTAAAAAAACCCACAAACTAGTTATCCATATAAAATATAATTTCACTCTTTTTATTATCTACCACAGACTTTTAAAAATAGTAAATACATATAGACAAGAACAAGAAAGTTAGAAAGTGTTGGGTGTGGCATACAAATCCTCAGTAAAGACGTTGCATGATGACAGCTCTCCAGAGGTCAGAGGGCACCCCAGCCAGCCAGCCAGGGTCTCTGAGGTTTGCACTGGCTGGCACATCTGGGAAGTTCTCTCTACAGCATGAGAAGAACCCTCAAGAGTCCTCTGACAGACATCTCTCAACAGCCAAAGGGCCACTGCATTCCAGACAGGGAGGCCACCAATGTCTCTCAGGCCCCGGGGTGGGAATTAATCCAAAGAAAGCCCCTCAGAGGAGGGAGAGAGGCATATAGTAGCTACCCAGCTCTTTCTGGTAGCCTCTGGAGAGTTCTAGCTGTCAGCCCTGACGTGACACCAGGGACACAGGAGGCTAACACCCCCACCGCTGAGCCCAGCGATCCTGCAGACTTCAATGCCAGTTTATTATATATTCTGATTTCAAGAGAGCACAGCCTCATCATATGACTCAGACTAGCCTCAAACTAACAGTGACCCTCCTGCCTCAACTTCATGAATACTGGGGCTGCAGGCGTGGCTTTTTTAGTGGGACACTACAAACAACCCTTCCCTCCTCATTTTGCCAGTCCCTCTTTCTTCTGCATTTCCTGGTGTTTTTTTTCTCCCAATAAATATATGTATTTATTGACCATATGATGTCAATATCCAACTCAAGTTTTATTTAATTCCAGGCTATCATCACATAATAAAATTCATGGCAACTTCAAAATCTCACTGTGTAGCCTAGGCTGGCCCAGAATTCTCAGAGATCTTCTTGACTGAGTCTCTAAGGACTGGGGTTACAATAGTGAATCACCTCATCCCTCAACCCTTGGTCCATTTTGTAACATACGCCTGACAAAATGTCCCACAACAAGGTCATTGTGTCAGCTCAAGGGGACAGCGTGCTGACACAACCTTAAGCACCCAGTGACTACAAAACTGCACACCAGGAACTCTGGCAAGCTGGCGACGCTTGTCAGTCACAGACCTGGTGAAAGTTCTGCTTGATCATCTATAATGTGAATGACCCGAACACAAGGTCACAAGAGGTCACTAGGGTGAGGGGCGCAGAGTGGCTTCCCTGGGAAGATGCAGGACCACAGGGAAGAAAAGTGGGTCTGGACCTGCATTAGATCTGAGGTTCCCTGTTCCTTTCCAGCCTGAGTGACTCTGTAAAGCACAATGAAGGGTCCATTCCAGTGTTCAGCAAAGACAGTTAAATGTGAGGACGTGAGTACCACTCTGGGGCTGGAGAGATGCTCTGTGATTGCTGTGACTTCGAGCATTGATTTCACATACATGCAGGCAAAACACCCATGCACACAGAACAAAACAAAGTATGATTCTTCAGGAAAGCAGATAGATAGAAATCTAAGCAATATTCTCATTTTACTTACTTTTAAAGGTGGGGTTTTGTGGATCCCAGTCTGACCTTGAACTTCCCATCCTCCTGTCTTTGCCTCCTGAGTGCTGGGATTAGAGGTGTGCATCACCACACCTGGTTTACAATGCTAGGAACCAAGCCCAGGTTCACGCTAGGCAAGCTCTCTACCAACTGAGCTGCACTCCTAGGCCAGAATTTTAAATCGTCTTAATTCTTACACTCCATCAGAAGCATCTATGGGTTAATTACTGCTTTTAAAATGCCTTCTAAAGTTTAAATTATTACAAGAAAGTTGGCTTTTAAGTGATCTTTCATTGCCTCCTGATTTAAAGGACTGTGTTTAATCTGGGAATTGTGATGTTTGGCTTTAATCCCAACACTTGGGAGGCAGCAACAGGTAGATCTCTAGGGGGCCAGCCTGGCCTACACAGTACATTTTAGAACAGCCTGGGCTACACAGATCCTGTCTCAAAAAATAAACAAACAAACAAAAACCCCAAGTAAATCCATACAACAAAACAATAACAAATGACTGTATTTACCATTTGTTTCATTTCTTTGGCTGCAGGCAATGCTGACTAACCACTGATTATCTAGCAGGCTACAGCTGTTTCCTAGGTCAGTGTGGTCATCAGGGAACTAGCAAGTCTGTGGCCTTTACAAATGAAACTGGCTTATCTACATTAAGCACTAACAACCTATGAATTTAAGGTGGGACCTTCCACAGGGCATTTAATCTGCCTGGGCCTGATTTATCCTCCAGGCCGTATCTATTGATAAGCCAGCTTCAACAGCAGAAACCAGCAAGGCAGTTCTAGTTACAGCGAAAATCCTTAGTGACTATATCATCCTCTTGCAAAGACTCATTGCCAAGATCAAGGGCTCAGGGTCCACCCTCTTACGTAAACAAAGCCAAAACTTTGGCCTTTTCTGTGTTTCAAGAAGTCCTCTCCCTCAAAGTTCTTCTTGAGCCGAAAGAACCTCAACATCCTAGCAAGTCTTGCCAAGTCCTACAAAGGCTCAGTGTACAGAGCTCATCGTCAGTCTGACCTCAGGCTGTGCTGCCCCTTTAAATGTTCAAGTACTCACCATACCCCAGAAGCACCCACCTCTTTCATCCGTTAGGGAAAAGCTCAAGCATGGGCGCATGCCACAGCGTGACAGCCCACATTATCAGTCTCTTAGGCCACAGACAAGGAAAACGTCAATATATTAAAATGCCCAAACTCAAAAACAAAACTAGACAAAGAAAAAGAAGAAGCAAAGCCCAAACAATACGGTTGGCAGCATTTTATGGTCAGAGAGTTTTAGTAGAAATACCACAGCCTGACCCCAGGCTAGCTCACTAAGTAAAGAGAGTTTGATGAACTTGACTGTTTAGCCGTGGAGGAAAACGTTTTACTCCCCCACAGCCCTGTGAGAGGAAGGTGCGGCTGTATAAAAACCGGTAGACTATCAGTAGGAGATAGGAAGTATGGAGACAGTGCGGAAGAACGGAGTGTTTTGTAAATGGGACACTCTGAAACGACTCTCATGTTAGTTCAAACGCTAGAGTGTCCACTGGATGTCGCTGAAGTCCCCAGGGTCACCCAGACCTGCCTCTGCTTCGAGGTAATTCATAAATGCAGCCACAGCTGTGTCTTCGTTGTCACACAGCGCATCAAAGTCCAGCTGGGCACCATCACCTGTAAGTAAAAATAAAATAAAATAAAATAACACCAGCTACGTGAGTCAGTACAGGGGAGCACTGTGGGCAGAGTCTGGAGAAACGGTTTAGCACTGGCTGCTCTAACAGAGCTCCACACAGTAGCTCACAAACACCTGTAACTCCAGTTCCAGGGGATCCGGTAACCTCTTCTGGCCTCATGTGTACAGACATATGTGTAGGCAAGTCTCTCAGACACATTAAATAATATAACTGTAGTCAAGAACAGCAAGCCATTGGCAGGGGCTGAGGTTCTGCTGGGGAAGTGCTTGCCTAGCATACATGACACCCTGGGTTCAGTGCCTGGTACTGTATAAATCAGGTGTGGATGTGCACACCTGTTATCCCAGCATGAGGCGGGAGGGCCGGAAGTTCAAGGTGATCCTTAGCAACATAGATGTTTGAGCCCAACCTGGGATACAAGAGGTAACGCTTAGCTTTAATTGTCACCTTGCTACTCCAGGACCTGGAAAGAGAGTCTCAATGAGGGACTGTCTGTGAGGACCTGTGGGAAGGCCTGTGAAGACCTTTGCCAAAGTCGCCACCCTGACCGAGGGTGTTATCATCCCATGGACTGGGCCCTAAATGGTGTAAGCATGAAGAAGCAAGCTGAGCATGCAACTATTTCTCTCTGTTCTTGATTATGGATTTGACAAATGGCTTCAAGTTCCTGCCTTGACTTGCCCTCAGTGACGCACCATTGACCTGGAACTGTGGGCTAAAATAGACCCCTCTCCCCTGAGCCATTTCTTGTCAAGGTTTCTCATTGTTGTGACAGGAATGAAATTAGAACACCTACCTAAAATAAAAAAAGATAAAGCCAGACAGAGGTCACATGGTACAATTTGGGAAGGTAAAATATGTCTTAAATTGCAAATCTGGATATATTTCTATATTATTTTATTTTATATACATGGGTGTTTTGCCCACGCGTATGTCTATGCATCGTGTACATGCAGTACCAGAGGGGCTGCCATGTGGGTTCGGGGAATTGAACTTGGGTCCTCTCTGCAAGAGCAGTCTGTGCTCTTGACCACTGAGCCATCTCTCCAGGGCCCTGACATCTTTCTTTCTTTCTTTCTTTCTTTCTTTCTTTCTTCCTTTCTAAAAACTAATTTATTTTTATCTCATTTGCATTTGTATTTTGCATGCATGTGTATCTCTGTGAGGGTTTCACATCTTGGAGTTACAGACAGTTGTGAGCTGCCATGTGGGTGCTGGGAATTGAACCCAGGTCCTCAGGAAGAATAGCCAGTGCTCTTAACCTGCTGAGCCATCATCTCTCCAACACTGTCCTGACATTTTTCTAAATGAGCCAGTTTTGTGCATTTTGTAGTAGAAAATCACACTGCTGGATGACGGACACAGACTCCCAGGCTGTTGGGAGTTAGAGGCTGTGTGCCCAGGGGCCCGGAAGATATTTGATTCATCTGTACTGTGAACAAAGTTCTTGTTTCATGCTAAAATGTGAAGCTGGGGAGAAAGCATCAAATTCCAAAGCACAGTTTTCATGTGAGGAGTTGGAGATTAAAAAAGGAAGTGAGGGTGGAGCTGGAGGTGACATTTAAGTTCGAGATACAACCAAGTTCTGGACAGCAAAGGTTAAAATACAATAGAGAGCAATCCAAGTTTTCCGGGTCTCTTCAAAGTCAGGAGAACCTGATGCAGTGCAGTCAGGAGGTGAGAAGCCAGGTTACCGCATTTGCATGATTCAGACTTTGCATAAACACTTTAAAGTGAGCGATTAAATGTTACACTTTAGAAACATTTTAGTGGGCCGGAGAGGTGGCTCAGGGGTTAAGAGCACCGGCAGCTCTTCCAGAGGCCCTGAGTTTCTTTCCCAGCAACCACATAGTGGCTCACAACCATCTGTAATGAGGTTTGGTGCCCTCTTCTGGCATGTATGCATACATGCCAGAACACTGTATACATAAAAGATAAATTTAAAAAAGCATTTTAGATTTATTTATTTTATATGTCTGAGTGTTTTGTTTGTATATATGAGCACTATGTGTGTGCCTGGTGACTGAGGAAGCCAGAAAGAAGCGGAGTTCGATCCCCCGGGACTGGAGTTACAGATGGTTACGAGCCACCATGTAGGTGCTGGGAATGGAACCCGAGTTCTCTGTGAGAGCAATAAGCGCTCTTAACCATTGAGCCATCTCTCTGTGACCCCTACCTTTTTATTTTATTTTATATTTTAGCATGAGTCTTTTTAAATTTCTTGATAATTCTTGAGAAGGGACTTTTTCCTAGGTGGAAATACTTTTAAGTTTTTATTTAAGTTATGTGTATTCAGCAAAGGCCAAAGCTGGCTCAGCTGATGGCTGACTCTCACAATGGGTCAGTGAGTGACGCACATATGAAGAATAGCTGGTTGGAGCTGTAGAGAGCACTCGGCCATGAAGAGCACTGGCCGCTCTTCCAGAGGGCCCTTGTTTGATTCCCAGCACCCATGTGGCAGCTCACAACCTGACACTCCAGTGCAGGGGAGACAACACCCTTCCTGAGGGTACTGAACGCATGTGGGGCACAGACATGGATGCAAGGCAAAACAACACACATAAAATAAAAATAAATAAATAAATCTTAAAAAGTAATACCTGCTGATTATTGTATTAGGATTCCAAGTGGAGAAATCTTGGGGCTATTTTTTTTGGGGGGGTGGCTTTCTTTCTATGTAGCCCTGGCTGGCCTACAACTCACTATATAGCCCAAGATGGTTTTGAACTCATAGCAATCCTCTGCCCCAACCTCCCATGTTTTGAGATTATAGGCATGTGTCACCATGCCTGGTGGAAAAAAAATATTACTTTAAAAACCATTTGCGCCGGGTGTTGGTGGCTCACGCCTTTAATCCCAGCACTCGGGAGGCAGAGGCAGGTGCATCTCTGTGAGTTCAAGGCCAGCCTGGTCTCCCGTGCGAGTGCCAGGACAGCCTCCAAAGCTACACAGAGAAACCCTGTCTCGGAAAAAACAAAAACAAAAACAAAACAGCCATTTGTTTCTTTGAAAATCTCCTGCACATAAGAACTCAGTGATGGAGAAAGAGGTTTTGGAAAGGTCACATCATGGCCGGTGACAGGGACAACTTACTGAGGAGTGACCCCTGAGTATGGGCAGCTTCAGTGATCTGGGGGTGCCTGGCAGCCTCCAGCTCCCCTGTTTCAGGGCTCGGTGAAAAGTGCTCCTTCCTGGACACCTGGAAAGACAGGACAGGACCGGTCAGCAAGCCTTGAGCACAGGGAGAACCACTGGGTGGTTTCAGAGCTGGCCGGCACCAGAACCTCCATTACAGTTCCCGAGGACCTGCCTCATGCACAGCCTGTGATACCCACACATTTCCATAGCTGCAGCTCAAAGAGCCGAGAGAGAGCCGTTCCCTGTCACCACCAGATTCCAAACCAAGGCACCTACTGCAAAGTCGAGATCCTTTTGTATATGTGTGTGTGCACATGTGTGCATGTGTGTGTATTGTGTGCATTGTGTGTGCATGTGTGTGCATTGTGTGCATGTGTGTACGTGTGTGTATGTGTGTACACATGTGTGCAATGTGTGTGCATTGTGTGTGCACATGTATGTGTGCATTGTGTATGTGTGTACACGTGTGAAATGTGTGTGCATGTGTGTATGTGTGTGCATGTGTGTGCACATGTGTGCATTGTGTGCATGTGTGTACGTGTGTGTATGTGTGTACACATGTGTGCAATGTGTGTGCATTGTGTGTGCACATGTATGTGTGCATTGTGTATGTGTGTACACATGTGTGCAATGTGTGTGCATGTGTGTACACATGTTTGCATTGTGTGCATGTGTGTACGTGTGTGCACATGTGTGCATTGTGTGTGCATGTGTGTATGTGTGTGCACGTGTGTGCATTGTGTGTGCATGTGTGTACATGTGTGCACGTGTGTGCATTGTGTGTGTGTATGTGTGTGTGTGCACGTGCACACGTGTGCGAGTGCACTTGCATGTATGCACAGCTGTGCACATGCAGAGGCCAGAAGATTTTATTACAATAACTTACATGTCCGCTCCTATGGGGTCACTTTATTCACTAAATGTATGAATAAACGAATACATAAACAGCAAGACCAGTTATACGTTCATACAATCATCATGTGAGGTTTGTACTTTCGGGCCCCTACTCCCCCGGTCATCGTCTTCCTCCCACACTCTCAGGGCACAGAGCTGACTAGACCCCTCATGGTGTTTGCTCTACACAACGCTAGGATTATAATCTATTTCAGACTTCCAGATAGCATGAGGTTCAGCGTCCCCAGTTACCGGAATCAAACAGGTCTTTCCATATGCCAGGCATGAGCTCTACCACTAAGCTGTATATCCATCCCTTTACATTTTTACATTTTTAAAATTTTTTATTTGAGACAGGGTCTCACTAAGTTGCCTAAGCTAGCTTTGAAGTCACCCAGGCCTGGGCTACATGGGACCCCATCTCAAAAAGTGGTTTTGGGTTATATCCCATTACCTAATTTTCATATTCACCCAGGGGCTGTTATTACCATACCTGCCTCACAAGTAAGGAAACTGAGGCAGAGTTCAAATTCTGAACCCAACGTCACAAAGACTAGATTTGAGTCACAACCTGGAGCCCCTCCGTGTTCTTCTAACCATGGCTCCTGTGACTACTGACCTGTACTGCCCCTTCAGGCTACCAAGTCCCCAGAAAGGTCCATTTATTTTTATAGACTGGCCTCTTTCTCAAAGGAAGTAATGACCAGTGAACATTTTCTTCACTCACGGGCACACTGGCGTTCCTGCAGTTCACACTGTGGCCATCTCCCTCTGTTTCTGAAGGATTTAAATCTTCTGGGGATGACGCATGCAGCCTGAGAAGGGGGACAAGAGATATTTATCCCTCTGACAGGATTTTAGAAGGAAATTTTCTCCTCTGGATGCATCACACGTGACCAACAGATAAACTACAGCAAGGAGCTCCACACTGAATACCTCAGTCCCCACAACCAGGCTGACTTGCTAGGTACCAGACTTATTTTTGATTCTGGAGAGCTGAAACCATGCAAGGAAATAGGAAATAGGAAATAGGAAATAGGAACTAGGAACTACGAGGTGGCTGTGGCTGTGGGAGAAGTTGGGGAGGGGAAGGTTAAATGGAGAAGCCTCAGGAGAGTATGGACCACAACACATGGAGCGTTGCTGAGCTGTGCACTTTAAGATTTTGTTTTGATTTATGTTGTGTGTATGTGTGTATGCACATGTGTGTGCAAGGGCCTTCACTGGCCAGAAGAGGGCGTCAGATTTCCGGGAGCTGGAGTTACAGGCAACTATGAGCTGCCTGGTGGGAACGGTGGGAATAAATTGGGGTCCCCTCTAGATGATCACCAAGTGTTTTTAGCCACCGAGCCATGTCTCCAGCCCCTGTGTATTTTAAGGTAGCAAATGCCACCATGGGCATTTTATTTTACTTAAAAAGTGAAACACAGGCAAGAGAGATGGCTAAGTGGGTACAGGCTCCTGCCATCAGGCCCGATCCCGGAACACACAGGAGAACTGACTTCCTCGGGTAGTCCTCTGACCCTCACACATGCTATGACATGCGCTCACCCACACACATGCACATACACAAAACAAGCAGACAAGATGTAGTTTTTTAAAAAGTAAGACACACAAGCAGATTCACCATTACCTAGATCCCTGGTTGCAAACCTTCAACAGGAGGAAACATAGAACTTGTAGTTGAGGCTAAGATGCCAAACAAGCGAGGTGCAGGCTCACACATACTATCCTTTTTTTTCTATTTCTCCATTTCTGTACCCTTTCCCCATATACCATATATATTCATGCATATGAGTGATTCCCTGTATGATGTCTGTGCACCACAGGCCTGCCTGGTGCCTTGGGAGCCCTGAAGAGGGTACCAGATCCCCCAGGACTTGAGGTTTAAATGGTTGTGAACTGCCATGTGAGTGCTGGGAACTGAACTTGGGTCCTGCTAACTGCTGGTCCATCACTTATCGTGTGGGAATCAAGATTCGCTAGACTCAGTACATACAGGTTAAGTGAACTTTATTTGGGGAGAAGTTACACAAGAAGCAGGTGACCACCACAGGTTCCCTCTCCAAGGATCTGCCCTGGCTGTCCTCTGTGACTTGACCAGAAGCAAGAGAGCGAGCCACCTGTCCAGACCCCAGAACTAAACTCACAGGTGCGGGCCAGGTGGATATCTCACTACAATCACTCCGGCCCCTACCATGAAGAGCATTCTACTACCTAACTCCCTGGAGGGAATTACTTAGCTGGTTAAGGCCCCTGCCACCTCAGCAGTGCAGTCATCAGTCTTATTCTTGCACGGTTGGCTAAAATAGCTTGTTCCGAGCCTCAGACTAGATATACTTGGTATCACTGGCTGGCCTGGAACTCACTGTGTAGACTGTCTCTTGCCTCTGTTTCTCAAGCACTGGGATTAAAGGCTTGCACCACTATACCCCACCTCAGTACGTTTTGTTTTAAAGACAAATTCTCTGGATGCAGCACAGGTTCCTGAGGACTTGGGTGACAGATACGCACAACCACACCTGGTTTTTCCTTCTATTGTTTTATGCATCTTGTCCAATTGCCATCCAAAGTTACTCCACTAATTTATACTTCAGAAAGAATTGGGGAATCTCTCCCAAAAGATTATAAAACTTTCAAATCTTTTATAATCTAAGTGAAAAAAAGTACCTAACCCTGTCTTAATTATGGCATGTGTATATTTAAATATGAGTGCAAGTGAACAATTTAAAGTTTCTTGGCTTTTCTCTTGCATTTTTCTCTTCATGTCCACTATTTAGCTTCAATGTAGTTTGTCCATTCTAAGAAATTGCTTTTATTTATTTATTTTAATTTTATGGCCACACATGTTTGCCTGCATGCATATATGAGTATCACGAGTGTGCACTGCCCTCAGCAGCCAGAGGAGGGAGATGTGTGTTCTAGAACTGGAGTTACAGACCTTGGGAGCCATTATGTGGGTGCTGGGAACTGAACACGGGCTCTCTACAAGAGCAGTCAGTGCTCTTAACGGCTGAGCCATCTCTCCAGCCCCCTACACAGTTATTGAATAACTCTTCTTTATGCTATGCATGAAGTTTACATATAACTATATGAAATTTATAATGTACTTATGATATAAAATTCTTTATAAGTTAAAGATAGTCTGTTTTACTATGCAAAATACACACATTTTCCAGTTTATGTTTTTAACTTTATTGTAAGGTATAGTTTTGCTTCAATTTTGAACTTTTATGCAATTACATTTATCAATTCTTTCTTCCTGAATTCTGCATTTGGTGTGATGTTTAGAGACAACTTGACAAGTTAAGAGTATAAAAGTCCTTATGTGGGTGGCCCCAACTGCTTGTGACTCCAGTTCCAGGGGATCAGATGCCCCTGTAGGTGTAACACTCTTATGTACATACCCACCCACCCTCCGCCCCACCCTCCTGAGGGATCTCTCTCTCTCTCTCTCTCTCTCTCTCTCTCTCTCTCTCTC